TCCTACGTACTTAGGGGTTTAGGGTTCAGGGATTTAAATTGAATCGATAAATACAAGGAGATCCACCGCAGCTGCCTGCACGAGCTCTTGTGTTGGGAATGCAGTTGGGAGTGGCCGGAGCTATCCACCCAGTAACATTAGAGGTCCATAGATCGGGAATTTGGGCTGAGAGGCTTTGATGTTGAGGGTTTAGGGTTTAGGGATGCAAAGGGGATGTGATTCACCAGGGCAAAGTCCAAAAACTCAACATAGCTACATGCCTCCGTCCCCCCATAAGCCGCTTAGCTTCACAGAAAGCTTAGCCTACCATGTTTCCAATTGCCGGGGCCCCACCTACGATAGAATGAATGCTACTTGTTGGAGCCCTTTCACAGCCCCCTGAGCTGCAGGGCTTAGCTTCAAGCCCTAACCGCATAAACTAGAGACAAAAGGCACGTAGGGAGGGACTTTGCCGGCGCTTGCGCTTGACAGGTGCCAGACAACTTCGACTCGAAGTGGCGTAATTGCAAAAATTAGGGTACCGTATTTTGGGGTCCTTACAATAAGGGTCCTTTTATTTGGGGGTACTATATTAGGGTTCCCTGTTTTCACCATCAGGCTTTCAGTTCTAGGGCGTAGAGGGTTTAAAGTGTTGAGCTGCAGGGCTTCGGGTTTAAGTTTAATGTAGGGGCCTTTTATGAATAGAATAGGGTTTTGGGGCCCAATGTACTATAATTAGAATATGGAACCCCCGAAAATACTATTGGTAAATATTTAGGCCCCTATATTATGGTCCTAGACCGTATGAACCCTAAACCATGTGTTCGGGGTTTAGGCAATTTAGGCAAAGCGTTTGGGACTTTAGACCGCAGATTTGACAGCCTGGCTCCGAAGAATCCTTAATACGGTTTGGGGTTTGGGGTTTAGGGTTTAGGTTAAACCCCCAAACCCCCCATAGAATCCTAACAGAACCATGTGCCACCCTTATACATTCTCAGTAGAACCACTATAGAACCGTATAGCACCTTTAGAGGCCTGAAAAATGCCAACGTCACCTATGCGCTCTTAGCCCGAAGCCCAGAAAGACCCCCCAAAGTCTGAGGTTGACATACAGTACGAGCAGATCCCTAAACCCAAAACTCTAAACCCTAAACCCTAAACCCTAAACCCTAAACCCTTAAAGTCTGAGGTTCACCTACGAGCAGATGCTGTACAGCGGTATCTTCGAAGCTGTCCGAATCCGGCAGTCCGGCTTCCCCATGCGCTTGCCCCACGCTGGGAAGCCCAGAATCTGGGTTTAGGGTTTAGGGTTTAGGGTTTAGGGAATCTGGGTTTAGGGTTTAGGGTTAGTGCCGTTTCCGATTTGCAGGTTTTAGGCATGTTCAGTCCTATGCTTGCTCAATCTTCATGTTCCGTTGCGAAATCTTGCTGTCGCGTTGCTCGGTTGACTGTTGGCTTACAGGTGGTTATACGAGTATGCTATTAGTGAGACGTGCTGTTCTCCTCGTGTCGTACTGTAGCATTGGTCATAGTGCCATAGGTTTAATATTTGCCGTCGCTGTTATGCTTGCAGGTGTAGAGTGTAGACTGTTGTGTTGTTCGGTGTCGTTCTATGGCTTTGTACTACGCAGGCTATGGCTATGGGCGATACTCGTGATCACCATGATGACGCTGCCTCTACTGCGGCCAGTATCAGTAGCGCTGCCGCTACATTACGACTACCACTGCCACCGCCACTGTCACTACTTGGAGGATCATGGGACTTAGTAACAGGTCAGGGCCGCATCGGAAAGCAAGTTTTGAGCTCAAACGAGTGATGAAGGAATCCTTCCTGCGGTTGTTCGGTGATCTGATCAAGGGTTCGAGACCGCGGAGTTCTGAGGTTTCCTTCGACTTGCTACCATGAAGATGCATGTTTAGAGTTTGGGATTTGGGATTTTCAAGATTTAGGGCTTAAAGCTGAGACGCTGGATGCTCGTCAGCGCCCGAAACCTTCGCCCTACAGCCGCCTACGATCCCAAGGTGCCCTGCTCAAAAGTTGCCAGCATTCTCGCAGCCCGACAACGCCTTCTAAAATCAACCGGCTGGATGGCTGCATGCACTTTCCGATTATTGCTGCAGTTTTCAGCGCCTCTGTGGTCTATCCGCATACCTCCACAAAGGTGCAGTCCACAGGACTGTGCCTTATACCATCATTCCCTGACAGTGGCAAAAGCCTGCTTGCTATGCCTGCTCTTGTGACAGGTTGTGTTTTGCCTAAATTAGGGTCCCTTTTTAGGTCCCCATTGTTGTACGGCCCCCTTATAATACGGACCCTAAAAGGGACCCTTGATGCTGGTGTTGCTTGTCGTTGTTGCTATTGAAAAGATCTCAGGCGATCAAGCGCAGACACTCTTGGACGCTGGAAAACCCAAACGCACCCCGTGCCCTCGAGCCCATAAAGCCCAGCACCGCAAGACGAAGACCGAAAACCGCCAAGATCCTAAACCCTGCATACCCTAGATCCTAAGTTACTTTTAGGGTTTAGGGTTTAGGGTTCTATATATAGATGCCACGTTTTAAAGCTCGAAGCCCTAAATCCCAAGCCCTACGTCCAACCTCCTGACTCTCAAAGCCTCAAACCTGAAAGCTCTGCTGCCTCTGAATTCCAAAACCCCAAACCCTAAAACCCTAAACCACAAACCTTAAACCTAATGTAGGGGCCTAAATGATTACCAATATTATGTTGGGGGGGTTCTTATTATAATTACAGTATATTGGGCCCCAAAACCCTTTTCCAATTATTAAGGCCCCTACATTACAAGTCTAAACCCTCTACACCCCACCCCACGCCCGAAAGTGCAAAGGGCGAAGTGCTGGAGCGGTATCGGCTGCTCCTTCCTCGCTCCGAGTGGCCCCGGTTTATCGGCCGACGGCCGGGCCAGTCAGGTTTAGGGTTTAGGGTTTAAAGTTTAGGGTTTGAGGTGTAAGGGTTTAGAGTTTTGGGGGTTTGGGGTTTAAGGGTTTAGAGTTTAGGGTTTAATGAGGGTTTAGGGTGTAGAGGGCTTAGGGTTTCGATGAGAGTTGAGGGCCTTGAGTTTTTTGGGCTTTGGGAGTTTAGGGTTTGGTGTAAAACTTCATAAGTTGGCGTTAAAGGTCTTCCAGGGTTGTGTTGAGTTGCATAGGGTTTGCACAGATCGTTACGGCGGCTGAGTCTGTGGCCTTAGGGCCTAATAATACTTTAGAGTCTAGAACTTGGATATCTGCGATGGAAATTGGGGCATTAGGGCTTTCAATATTTAGACGTTGAGGTTTACCAAAGCGTATGGAGGACCCCTGATTCATAAATCTCGCTACCTTCAAAGTGACGCTGCGCTCCTAGCATACTGTGCAGAAGCTTCTTTCAATATATTGATGTAGTATGCTCGCCATCCGTATTCTCACGACCATGAGAGATTAGTGTTGCAAATGTTTTTGCCGTTTCGACTGCTTTTGCGACTGTTCTTGCTAGCCGTATACTGATTGCATGTTTCGACTGGTAGATTGAGAACACCTTGCTGCTCAGTCGCCTCATTATTGAGAGTGCCCTTCGGAAGACTTTCTGCCTCAACCCTGACCCCCTAAAGTCCAGTACCCAAACCCCCCAAAATATCCTTCAAACCTGCAGTAGAACCACAACAGAAGTAACCCTAAACCCTAAACCCTAAACCCAATAAAGAAGTCTTATAGATCTCTCATAATACCCTGAAGCTCGAGAGCATATGACAGCATTTGGAAGCCCAAGTTGGGGCCCTGCTAAATACAGGGAGCCTTGCCTTTCTGGTTTGTTAGTCTGTTAAAAATTTTAGGAGATCTGAATCGTGACAGCATTGTACTGGAGTTACTGGAGCAGTTGTACATATGCTCATTTTTCCTTATGTGCCATAGTTGCCGGTCTAGGTTCTGTCGATATAGCTGTGTAGTGAGACATCTGGTTTCTTTCTTCGTCATCCTGAATATTGTCACATAGCTGCGTTGTTGACCGTTTCTACAGAGCAGAACGGCGTGGTTGTAGTTCCGTGGTAGTTGAATGTTTTTGCATGCGGCGTCACCAGAATACTGCGATGTTCGCTTTACCGTTTCACCTGTTACGCTCTATGCTGGTGAGTCATGAGTCATGGTGTATGTTCAGTATTCTGTTCCAGCTGAGTTTGCCTGCCGAACCATTGCTAGTTGAATGGTGCTGTCAATGTCTGAACATAGTTTATGGATCCGCAATTACTTATTACTGTCGCCGTCGCCATCATCATCATCATTTTCTTCTTCTTCGTCATCATCATCATCATCATTGTCATCATTGTCATAATCATCATCTTCTTCTTCTTCATCATGACCATCATCATCATCGTCCTCATCATTACCGGCATAGTCACGATCATGCTAGTATTTTGTATTTTTCTTCGGGGTTGCTTCTGCCATTTTCAGTTGTCGTACTCCTCTTCTGACTTCGTTTAACAATACTTCCATTGTTGCCAGTATCTATGGCTGTTCGTGGAAACACGGGTTGTACATGTTTCCTTCCCTGCCTGCCTCAAACAGGCAGGTCGCCGACGAAGAGAAGATTCAGATCATGGTTGGCGTGCTTTGTCTTACGGCATCTTACGGCTTAGGGTTTAATTAGGCCGAATAGGGTCTCACACTTTACACCCCCCCCCCCTGACAGTCCTAAAGCAGTGAGCCCTATGCTCCGAACGCTGCTGGGGTTTTCGGATTCCAGCTTTCGGGTTTGCAATGTAGGCTTGATGGTTTCATGTTGAGAATTGGGCTTTGAGGAAATATGCAGACAGGGTGTTATGGTTACCATGCAGGGAATGCTGCGATAAGAAAGCGCACCGGGACCACGATGCAAGATGAGTACTCAGATTCAGGCCGGTTCATTGGCAGATTCAGAGGACAAGCCGTGCCGACGGCCACATCCACAACGTCGGCCGACGTTCCCAAGATCCAAACTTCTCGTTCCACGACCTCAGTCAGTACTTAGAGTAGATATATATATATACACACACACATACACACCCAGGGTATATATGCGTGTGTGTATATATATGTATATATATATATATATGTATATATGGATGTACATGTCTATGTGTATGATGCCAATGTATATGTACATGTACTTCATAGCATGGTCGCGGTTCTCGCGCTGAGAACACTACACGATCCTACGGAAAGACCAGGCGCTTCGCCAACATCTCTCTGGCCTCGATCTTCCCGACAAGGGACTGGCCCTGGGAAACACGAAGGCCAAAGAGTAAGGGTTTAATGTTTAGGGATTAGGGTTTAGGGTTTGATAGGTTCTAGGACATTTTCAGACCCAGGTGGGTGGTTATCATTGTAGGAGCCTTATAGAAGGTCTATACACCTTATGGAGGCCTTATGAAAGCCCTATATACCCTAACCTGCCCACCTGTAGTTTCCTTTAATAGGTA